TTCTTGCCAGACAGAAAAAGCCATTCCCGTGCCTTGCCCCTGAGCCTCCTCGGAAATGGCGGATCCGCACATGAGGGCTTTTTACTCAAACAGCAACACATGAGTCGTGCCTCTTCCCTAACTACGCTTTGCGTTTTTGCCAAAATAAACCCCATGGAGCAGAGCCACAAAGGGCACCAAACGTCGGCAGTAGCTAGAAATAATCAGCCCATGTTCCAAGTGGATGAAAGTGGGCATCAGGGCTGTGTCCCCAGCGACTGTAGGGGCCCCGATGAGCCGCCTGTTAAAAACAGAGCCCGTCATGAATACGACCCTCGTGCGTCTTAAATGCGACCTATCTAAAAGGAATCTGTTGAAACGTCAGAGATTATACACGTAGGCTGGGCTCACACCTGTAATCCCAGCACTTCAGGAGGCTGAGGTGGGTGGATCATTGGAGGTCAGGAGTTTGAGACCAGCTTGACAAACATGGTAAAACCCCAACTCTACTAAAAAATACAAAAAAAAAAATAAAAATTAGTTGGGCATGACGGCGCACGCCTGGGAGACTGAGGCAGGAGAATGGCTTGAACCCACGAGGCGGAGGTTGCAGTGAGCTAAGATCGTGCCATTGTGCTCCAGCCTGAGTGACAGAGTGAGACTCCATCTGAAAAAAAAAAAAAAAAAAAAATCACATGTAGTCCTATTGTAGGCTTTCTTTGCGTTTTGAAGTATTTGTAGAAAGTGAATGTCTTCTAGATTCCTTAAGCAGCCAAGGTAGAAGTTAATTCTTGTTTTCAATATGCACACAACACTGGGATCATTATTTTCAAAAGCATCTTTCTGAGGCCTTGGTGGTTTGGGGACATTCCGGTGCTGCGGAGGGACACACATCTGATGTCATCGTGCACCTGGGGACCACTCTGTCGTAGCGTGAGGGGCCGGCGGCCTCGGTTTGCCTGCCTGCCTGCCCTGGGACTCACACTGCGACTTTGGACAAGTCCTGGAGCCAGTGTTTTCATCTGAGAAATGAGGTGACGTACCTGACTGTGAGCACTCAGACCCCCAGGAACAAAGCGAGCACGTGGGGGCATTGGGCACTCACGTGATGCAGGCGAGGCGTACGTAGTAACTCTGGTCACCAAGAGGAAGCTGAAGGGATACACGTGGGAGATGCACCACTTGCCTTTGAGATTAAGGAACAAGCCAGGAACCTAGACAGGCATTGCAGTGTGTTCAGAAGCTACACAAGCTCGCTCTTAGGGGCAGCGAGGTTTGACCCGCGCCGGACACCAGGAGCTCTAGAATTGGTCCCTGCTCTTGAGGTGCCCGCAATTCTAGGCAAGGAGCAGGTCTGCAAAGTGCTTTTTGTTGTTGTTTGTTTTTGGGGCAGAGTCTTGCTCTGTCACCCAGGCTGAAGTGCAGTGGCATAATCTTGACTCACTGCAAACTGGGCCTCCCAGGTGTAAGCGATTCTCCTGCCTCAGACTCTTGAATAGCTGGGATTACAGGTGCCCGCCCTTACGCCCAGCTAATTTTTGTATTTTTAGCAGAGACAGGGTTTCACCATGTTGGCCACGCTGGTCTTGAACTCCTGACCTCAGGTGATCCACCTGCCTCGGCCTCCCATAGTGCCAAGATTACAGGCCTGAGTCACCACGCCCGGCCAGGAATCTTTTTCCATTTCCCACACTTGTGACTCAGCCAAGTGTCTTTTTCAAAGCCTAATAAAACCTTCACAGCTTCCGAAACACCGCACTAGATCTAGTAGCCGCCGACAATTTGGATTCCATCTCCAGTGGGAAAGATTCAAAACTGCAGGTTTTGGAAGCCTTTAAAAGCTTCTTGTTTGTGTAATGTTCATTGAACGCAAATTCTTTTGCAAATAATGGCCTGAAACTGCGTTAAAGAAACAAACTCATCTTGCTGAGCCTGGGCTCATATGTGTCTGTGAAAAATTGCAAACACACGTTCTATTAGCCGAATCGTTTAATTAAACCTCATTCTTGAAATGGTCTGCACTATAGGAAGGGCTGATGTGTGTACCACACTTTCTGAAAAGACACGTAAAGGGTCCCCAGAAATATATGATCGGAATTTAACCTAGACAAGACATTTCCTCTCCCCATGTCTGTTTCCTCATCTGTAGCATGAGGCAGCGGAGCCAGGACATCCACGAGGTCCGTAGCACGATGCCATTCACAGGTGCAGTTACTTGGGGGAATCATCATGCTCTAACATTTTTGGTTTGGGGTTTTTTCTTTCTTTTTTTGAGACAGGGTCTCCCTCTGTCGCCCAGGCTGGAGTGCAGCGGTGTGATCGTAGCTCCTTGCAGCCTCCTGGGTTCAAGCAATCTCCCTTCCTCGGCCTCCCGAGTAGCTAGGACCACAGGTGCACACCACCGCACTTGGGTGTGATCCTCCCACTTCGGCCTCCCAAAATGCAGGGATTACAGGCATGAGCCACTCCACCTGGCACTAGGATTTTAGCCTTTGTCTTTTTAAAACATCTTCACATAAGAGTTAATTGGGGGGTTGGGAGGGTGTTCCTATATAAATGGATGTTGAAATGCAAGAGTCAAGAGACTGAGTCTGGGGTCCAAGTGGGTCGCCTGGTCAACCCTCTGCAGACTCTCTGCTGCTTTTGTTAAAGTGTCTAGGAGTCCCAAGCCACATGGGGTAGGGGCATCAGAAAAATCTAGAATTATTATTTATTGTTTTGAGATGGGGGTCTCTTGCAGTGAGCTCTGGGGGTCTGTCGCCCAGGCTGGAGTGTGGTGGCAAGATCTTGGCTCACTGCAACCTCTGCGTCCCGGGTTCAAGTGATTCTCCTGCCTCAGCCTCCGGAGTAGCTGGAGTTACAGGCACTCACCACCATGCCTGGCTAATTTTTGTATTTTTAGTAGAGATGGGGTTTTGCCATGTTGGCCGGGCTGGTCTTGAACTCCTCACCTCAAGTGAACTCATACCTCAGCCTCCCAAAGTGCTGGGATTACAGGCATGAGCCACCGCGCCTGGCCTGAAGAATTTAGAATTCTTCAGCCCTATCCAGGTTGTTCTTGCTGCCTGGGTGGGAGGCAGGGGAGAGTGGGTGGGGAGAGAACTGTGCTGTAGGGGTGTGACTGTGCAGGGTGATCCTGGCTCTGCAGGTGACCAGCTGTGTGGCCTTGGGCGGGACACTGGGCTCTCTGCACTCCACTCTCCACATCGGTAAAGGGTCTGGTCAGGCCAGCTGTGGGCTAGTGGTGACAGGTAACAGATTCTGGTCTGTACTGGGAGCACCCATGAGCTGATTGCTGGCATCAACCGCCCTGCACTGGGAGTTAAACAGGCATCTAGGCTGGGTACAGGGGCTCACACTTGTAACTCCAGCACTTTGGGAGGCCAAAGCAGGAGGATCACTTGAGGCCAGGAGTTTGAGACCATCCTGGACAACATGGTGAAACCTCATCTCTACAAAAGAAATGCAGAAAATGCATGGTGGCGCACAACTGCACTCCCAGCTTCCCAGGAGGCTGAGGTGGGAGGATTGCTTGAGCCTGCTAGCTCCAGGCTGCAGTGAGCTGAGATCGCACCACTGCGCCCCATCGTGGATGACAGTGTAAGACCCTGTCTCAGAAAACAAACAAAAACAGCAAAAAACAAAAACAGGCACCCAGATTTTCCTGTACCGTAAAGAGAAAAACCTTGAGTCTAGATTAGGAACGTCCAACCCTATCACAAAAGTGACCGAATCATACACTTTGAAATTCACCTCCTTTCGACAAAGCCAGGACCCTCAAGCCAGGGAAGATTCTGATGCGATCTCAGCCCTGCCCTTTCAGCATTTCCAGCGTGCGGGGTGATAGAATCCCACACTTTTTAGCGGTCGAAAGCAACTGAAGCTGTACCAGTTATTTCAGAGTTGTGAAGCATAGACTAAAATAGTTTGAAGCTGAATTTTAAGCCTCTTTTGGCCAGATCAAAGAAACCCAAACTTCTAAAAATACCAAATTAGCTTTTTAAGCATAGTTTCTATCTTTAGTGGAAAATGTGTGCAGTATATACTTCTGGAACCTACTTAAATGTATCCCTTGAAATAAAGACGTACCTTGAAAAAGGAGGCTCCTGGCCTGCAGTAATAATTAAGTAACTTTCTCTGCCCTTGACTCTTGCCCCAAGCCCTGTCGGGATTCCACAGCCTCTTTCTCCTTCCTTTTTCAGTTCTGAATACATCCTTGTCCTCTTGCTGGCGTTAGTACCCAAAAAAAAGTTACTCTTGTAGTTTACATGTCACACATGAAAATGGATATTCCTACCCAGGGCATAATCTGAAATATTTGTATTTGGGTTTCAAATGTGTGATTAGATGCTCTCTGTGGCAGATCGGCCTTTCTAATTGCTGTGCTTGTTAAAATTCAAATCAGGCTTTATTCTCTTCGCAAACGTTGACTGACAGTTGCAGAGAGTGGCCCAGAATGGCGCTGAGTGATGGGTGGCCGGGGAAGCCTGCGGTAGGAAATGCACAACAGACCCTTCACAGAGGAGTGACTGGCCTTGACTTTGAGTCCTTCCATCCCGGGGGCTTTAGAGACAGAGCTGCCTGACCCTGCATTAGCTTGGCCCCAGGAGCGTGGGAGGGGTCTGTTCCCACCTGCAGTTGCTGAAGGACAAGCTGTCTGATGCAGGCTTCCTGTGGGCTGGCCAGTCCCCACCCAGCTTTGCACATATCCCAGGATTGCGAAGCCTGAGCTCCGGGATTGGGACGTGATCTCCCCACGCCTCTGCTGAGTATTCTGGACCTTCCCATGTCTTTTGTTTTGTTTTGCTTTTTGTTTTTTTAGGCAGAGTCCCACTCTGTCACCCAGGCTGGAGTGCAGTGGTGCAATCTGGGCTCACTTCAACCTCCGCCTCCTGGGTTCAGGTGATGCTCCTGCCTCAGCCCCCCAAGTAGCTGGGATTACAGGTGCTTATGACCACACCCAGCTGATTTTTGTATTTTTAGTAGAGATGGGGTTTCACCATGTTGGCCAGGCTGGTCTTGAACTCCTGACCTCAGCCAATCCACCTGCCTCGGCCTCCTAAAGTGCTGGGATTACAGGGGTGAGCCCCCACGCCCGGCCAGACCTTCCCATTTCTGGTCAGGACTGACCCTGGGATGAACTGACCTCCTTGAAGTGTAGAGGCGTCCTGGTTGTCTGGGGACTTTGGGTGGGATCTCTGCCGGGTTTGCCTGCAGTGGAAGGAAAGGGAAGTGACTTATCTTGGGCACCTGCTTTGACAAGGCACTGAGCTGAGGATGTCCACATGCATCTGCTAATTTAATCCTGACAGTGGTCCTGAAAAGATGCTTTCCCCATTTTCCATGTGGGGAGACTAAAGCTCAGAGAGGTCACTAGCCTGCCCGGGGGTGGCATTGCCAGCGAGGGGTGAGCTCATATTGAGTCCGGGTCTGTGTGACCCTACAGCCGTGCCCTTGCCACTATGCCGTTCCTGCCCCCCTGGCTGGTTGTGTTCTGCCCACTTCTAAGAATGATTTCCAGTGGCTTGCAAAGGTACAGTTAGCACGGTTTGACAAGCAGGGCGTGAAGCTGGGAGTTAGTGGGAACGAAGAGGAAAGAAAGTGAGAGGAGGCTGGGCATGGTGGCTCACACTGTAATCCCAGCACTTTGGGAGACAGAGGAAGGAGGATCAGTGGAGCCCAGGAGTTCAGGGTCAGCCTGGGCAACATAGGGAGACCCCATCTCTATTGTGAAAATAAACTGTAGATAAAGTGAGAGGAAAAGGCAGTTAGAACCAGAAATAGACAACTATCCAAAGTTCCCCAGACCCTGTGTACTTACGTCATAAAGATGAGACACAGACTTGATTATGAGCTTCCTAGCAACCAATGCAAAAAGGGCAAACAGAGAAGTCATGTGACTCACACTGTCCACAAGCTCAAAACAAAGCATGCGTTGAGGGAAAGCACAGCTCCTCTGGTGTTGGTTTAAAAAAAAAAAAAAAAAAATGTTCTCCCCAAGATCCTCGTGAAAGAAGTCACTTGGTTTTTTTGCTGCTTACAAGTTGCTGGCAACCAAGTGCCACTGGCATGTATGTGACAGCTTCATAGAGGCAGTATTACATTTATCTGAAGGAAGACAAGCGGATGTACAGGTCCATTTTGGGGAGTGGATACACCTCTTTCTAAAGGTAGAGGAACTTCTCTCTGGATTGGTGAGGTGTGGGTGATTTCAGATACTGATGTTCTGAGTTCGGATACAGAGCAAATGTGGCTTGTAAAGTACTGGTCATTAGAACCAGAGAATGAACTTCATCCCTGTCTTTTAAATCTGGTTCATTCCCTCTTTTTAGATACTTACTATTTGGGGACAAAGAGAGCTCTAAGAATTGTCTTGGCCCTTAGGGATGGCATCAGACCTGGCTGGGTTTCAGGGATCTGTTGGAGAGAGAAGGTTGTGTCACGGAGCCCGCATCAAAAACGGCCTTGAAGAGGGCCACGAGCACGGACGACCCGGGGAGGGCCCTGACCACTGACTGCCCCTGCCCCCTTGCTCCTCCTTTGGCCTTTTCTCTCTGTCGGTGGCCCTTTCTGCTGTATTCACGCAGTGGCATGTGCCCTCCCCACGTCCTGTGTCTTCATGTGCTGGGGTTCAGCCGCCAAGGGGGAGAAAGCCTTTCTGTCAGGGAAGGACTCTGGCCCCGATGCCTCTTCCTCCAGGGCAGTCCACCGTGGTAGGTGAGAGAAGAGGCCACTCCTAGAGAAAGAGACATTGTCTGTACATGTCAGGAGGGGTGCTGGGAGCTCGCCACATGGTAACCAACAGACACAGCCCTCCTCGGCATTCCAGGTTGCATCCTGGTGCCTCGATGACTTTCTGTTACCACTGACCCAGGGCAGGGTTTTAAAGAGTGACATTAAGGCGAAAAGTTCTGGACCTCATTACTGACCAGTGCAGCCAGGCACTGCCTTCCTTTTTGATTCTAAAAATGACACTTGGGTTTTAGAGTGTTGCTTTTCAAGTAGCCGAAAACCCCGCATGCGCCTTCTGGTACATTTCAGGAGAGAAGAATCCAGGCGATCCATGGTATTCTTGCCCGGGTCCCGGAATCCATCAGAGCGCATGTGGGGCTTCAGCAAAGCCAGGCCTGCTTTTCCTGGCAGAGGCTGGGCCCTGTAAGCCTGAATGCGCCTCCCAGCCCTTCCTCACCCAGCACCCGTGACCCACTGGGTCACAGTGACCCACATCCCACGGCTCTGGCCACAGCTGGACTCATCTCACACTCACATATAATCATGGCCCCTAGAAGGCACGTGTTTTTAATGTAACTCCAGGACAGAGCCAGCTGATAGGGGAATGGAAGGCTGGAGGGAGCAAGTTTTACTTTTTTTGCTGTGACCATTTAAATTGAAATCATGCATACAGAAAAAGTTATGCATATAGAAAAATGTACACTTGGCCGGGTGCAGTGGCTCATACCTGTAATCCCAGCACTTTGGGAGGCCGAGGCAGGCAGATCCACAAGGTCAAGAGAGAGACTATCCTGACCAACACGGTGAAATGCCGTCTCAACTAAAAATGGAAAAATTAGCCGGGCGTGGTGGCTTACACCTGTAATCCCAGCTACTCGGGAGGTTGAGGCAGGAGAATTGCTTGAACCTGGGAAGCGGAGGTTGCAGTGAGCTAAGATTGCGCCACTGCACTCCAGCCTGGGTGACAGAGCAAGACTCCATCTCAAAGGAGAAAAAAATTAAGAATCAGACCCAAAAAAGACGCGTGGCTTGACCATATGAGGCCACAGAGCCTAAACCGTGGCACCCTCTCATCTAAGCCACACTTTGGAGTTTTATCCTCTCCGCGTCTTTCATAGATGATCAGGAAGTGAAATAACCTATTCATACTTTCAAAACTTCATACGAAATGTGAAGTGCTGTATAATGATTAAGATAGAAAGGAGAAACTAGGAAACGAGAGCTTTTAATCCTAGCTTACAGGAAATTCTAACTAGTAGGAAATCTAATTCAGGCAGCCCTGGGAAACATTACAGGCTATGAGATGAAAGTCAGCTAAATTGGGATCTAATTCTATAATCTAAATATAGATGTAGATATATTACAGGTTGGCCTTTTCAGCTGGAGAGAGTATCATTCACTCCAAAAGTGCCTTTTGTATCACAGAGAAGAGCTCAGCCAGGGGTGATATCAGCTGAGGAAGGGGGCGGGGAGCTTGGCGTGAGGGGCTTTCATTCATTCCTTAGTCATCTCTATTTTCTTACCAATTTTATAGCAGGAATTATTTTTCCGTTATTTGTGTAATAAATGAAAAAGAAAAGAGGGAGGAAGGCATCTCAGAGGAGCATTTTTGGGAAGAAGGCTGTCATGGCATGTGGGCAGAGGGAGGCCTGGGAATGGAGTTTGCTGGGTCAGAAGGATGTCCATGTTTTTTGCCAATTTGGCATCAGAAATGGCTCACGCCGGTCGGGCGCAGTGGCTCATGCCTGTAATCCTAGCACTTTGGGAGGCAGGTGGATCACCTGAGGTCAGGAGTTCGAGACCAGCCTGGCCAGCATGGCAAAACCTCACCTCTACTAAAAATACAAAACTTAGCTGGGCATGGTGGCAGGCACCTGTATTCTTAGCTACTTGGGAGGCTGAGGCAGGAGAATCGCTTGAACCTGAGAGATAGAGGTTGCAGCGAGCGGAGATTATGCCACTGCACTCCAGCCTGGCTGATGGCGCAAGACTTCATCTCAAAAGGAAAAAAAATAAAAAGAAGCATCTTGTGGTAATCCCAGCACTTTGGGAGGCTGAGACCAGCCTGAGCAACACAGTGAGACCCCCGTCTCTACAAAAAAGTTTTTTTTTTTTTTTTAAATCAGCCAGGCATGGTGGCATGTGCTTATAGTCCCAGCTACTCAGAAGGCTGAGGTGGGAGGATCACTTGAGCCTGGGAGTCCCAGGCTGCAGTGAGCTATGATCGCGTCACTGCACTCCAACCTGGGTGACAGAATGAGACCTCGTCTTAAAAAAAGAAAAAAGAAAAGAAAACGCCTGTCTCACTTGTCACGCCTCACCAGTGAGGAGTCGGCGTGGGACTGTTCTCTTCCTCACAGCCTTACTAACCCTGGATGATGGCACTGTGATACCTGTTCCCTTGGTCAAAAAATATATATTACCCTAAATTCAAAACTCGTCAGATAACAGTGAGGCTAAGTCAGAAAGTAAAAAGAAAGAATTCTCTTAAAAAAAAAAAAAAAAAAAAAAGAATGAAAAACAGTGAGGCTGTCTTTCCATACGTTTGTTAGCCAGGGTATTGCTCGTGTAAATTACCTTTTGGCACCTTTTGTTTATTTTTTCTGGTTGGTCTTTTGCCTTGTCTTACTTGTTCTTACTCATTTTTAAAGAGTATGAATTACGGCTGGGCATGGTGGTTCACGCCTGTAATCCCAGCACTTTGGGATGCCAACGTGGTGGATCACCTGAAGGCCAGTCTGGCCAACCTGGTGAAGCCCTGTCTCTACTAAAATTAGCCAGGCGTCGTGATGGACACCTGTAATCCCAGCTACTCAGGAGTCTGAGGCCGGAGAATTACTTGATCCCAGGAGGAGAATGTTGCAGTGAGCCAAGATCATGCCACTGTACTCCAGCCTGGGCAGAGGGAGACCCAAGACTCGACTCAAACAAAAAGTATGAATTAATTCTTTCTCTCTTGCATATTGTAGAAATTTTCCCCAAATCTATCCTTCCTTTTGTAAACATATTTCCATATTCTTTTAAAATAATTGTAGATTTTTAGCTTTTCACTTGGTTTTTTAATCTGACAACAGTTTTGTGTGCAGGGCATTAAGGTATAAGGGATCTCTTTTTCCCCCCAAGCGGATGGCTCATTTTCCCAATGCAATATTCCTTTAAATATCCTCAATAAAAGAGAATTGTAAAAATCTGTTTGAGCGATGGGAAATGCAAACCAAAAATATGCATAAGGAATTTTTGATTGAAAAACCCAGACGGGGGGCCGGAGTTTGAAATGAACTTCCTCTAAAAGCCAAAACTTGTAGAGGTGGTAGCCTGCGGGCTTTCCAGAGAGCTGTAATTGACTGTTTTACCATCAGCCAGGCCCCTCTTTCTTACCACTTTTTTGGACGCCCATTAAAGATCTGATGACGAGCGTGAACGTGGCAGCATTTTGGCATTTTGGATGGTAACATAATTGCACATATTGAAAATCTCTAAATTTACATCAGTGGATCCAGCGCGTCTCATTATACTGGAGGTGTGAAAACTCCATGTGCCTCTCCGAACAATCGTCCTGCTCTGTCACAGTTCAGGGGAAACAAAAGGAGCTCCAACTTCCCAAGAGTTATTTAAATTTGACTTGATGCCATTGAGTTGCTACTGTAACTAGAATTTGAATGTTTTCCCTTTCTGATTTTTTTTTTTTTTTCTTTTTTGGGATGGAGTTTCATTCTTGTCGCCCAGGCTGGAGTGCAGTGGCGTGATCTCGGCTCACTGCAATCTCTACCTCCTGGGTCCCGGCAGTTCTCCTGCCTCAGCCTCCTGAGTGGCTGGGATTAAGGGCATATGCGCCACACCTAAGTTTTGTATTTTTGGTAGAGATGGGCTTTCACCATGTTGGCCAGGCTGGTCTCGAACTCCTACCTCAGATAATCCTTCCGCCTCGGCTTCCCAAAGTGCTGGGATTACAGGCATGAGCCACCACACCCGGCCGCCTTTCTGATTTGCATTTCCACTTTTATCTCTCCACTCCCGAAGACATACCAACCCACAAGGAACTTCCTTCTAGCCCTTACTTAAAACTTCGCTCTTTTTCCAGATGTTTCCTATATCATTTGCCACTCCTCCTTGTCTCTGTGCAGTCTTAGAAAATTGGTTTGGTCCGAACTGAAGCTGTTCATTGAAAAAATACCATTATTTTAAAATAAAAGGATTCCCCGGCCTGGACAGTGTAGCAAGACCCCGTCTCTACCAAAAAATCAAAAATTTAGCCAGGCATGATGGTGCACACTTGCAATCCCAGCTACTCAGGATGCTAATGCAAGAGAATGGCTCAAGTCCACGAGATCGAGGCTGCAGTTGGCTATGATCGAACCACTGCACTCCAGCCTGGACAACAGTGAAACTGTGGCTCAAAAAAAAGATAAAAAGATTTCCTCCTTTCAGAGAATTGCTGGAACCTGGGAGGCAGAGGCTGCAGTGAGTCAAGATCACGCCACTGCACTCCAGCCTGGGTGACAGAGCGAGACTCCGTCTCAAAATAAATAAATTAAAAAAAAAAAAAAGATTTATCCTTTCAGGAGCTGAGAACTAGGAGATTCAAGCTGAAATCTTGCTTCTTCAGCATGATTATGTATGGGGGCTCAGCAACCCCCCATAATATGAAATGTGAAAAGTATTCAAAAGTACAGCATGAGATGTGTCTGAGCTTTTGGGAGGGAACCGCGCTCCCCTTAAAGCGCCGTTTTTCCCTGATCCCTGCCTGAGATACAGGCTCTCCTAGTTCAGCCCACCTTGCTCATCAGTCACTCTCTGCTGGGTGCCCGCTTGTGCCCTGCCCCCAAGGTTGGCGTGCACACAGGTCTCGGGGCCCTGCCCTTTGATATTTCCAAGACCCTGTCCTCAGGGGATCCCGTCCACTCTCGTGGCTTAAAATACCATCCACAGAAGGATGGCGTCTATATTTACATTACCCCAAATATTCAACTGAATATTCAACATCTCTACTTGAAAAGACATCTCCAGCTTCACCGGGCTTGAAAAGAGAACTGTTGACCCCTCCCACACACACCGCCTCCACCACCAATCCCGGTCCCCCCACCGTCACCTCCGGAAATGGTGTCAGCACCCAGGAGCCGCTCAGGCTAAAACCTAGGTGTGCCCCGTGGCTCCCTCGCCTCTCCCCCGACAAGCCCAGTCCACCAGCAAGCCCCTCCTTCCCGTCCTTCCTCCTGGATACACCTGGGCTCCCAGCTGCACCACTGTCACCTTGGCCGAGCCACTGTCATGGCCAACCCACCACCGCCTCCATTCTTAGCCGCCTTCTGTCCATTCTCTTTAAACAACGGCCCCAGTTTTATTTTTAACGAATGCAATTCAGATCTTTCAGTCTCCCTGCTAGACCTTCTGATGCCTTTCTGTCCAACTTTCTGTGGTCTGTGAACCCCACGTCGCCCTCACTGGCTGGGCCACGGCCCCTCCAGCCCGGCCTTCACCCTTGAACCGTCTAGCGTCCATCCTCCTGGGTCTGCGCCCCGTGATTTCTTCCACCTGGCTCACCCAGGCATCCCAGCTACTTGTACTGGTCCTG